TTAGGGTTTTGGGTTTTGGGACCTTTTCTAGCCATGGAAAGTAATAAATATGGAAAATTTATGACTTAAGTCGATGTTTTGATTCCAGATCTGAGCGCTGGACAAAAGTTATTAAGTGATAAAGTAATTAATGGAGAAATAAGATCAGGTCGCGTACGTTGGGCGTACGAGGAGTACGTTCGGCGTACGGAACTATCGTGGACTTTGATTTTGTTGACATTCGTTGACCGTTGAATTTTGACCAAGTTTGACTTTAGGTCAAACTTGAGGGTTTTGGACTGTTAATTAAGGTTTTACTTGGTTTTGGTGATAGTGGATTCACGAGAGCACACAGTGCAGAAAGGGAAACGTGTTTAAGTTTTTTGGGTTTCTTCGTTTCAGGTGAGTATTGCCTCATTGTACCCGTGGGTTAAAGGCACAAATGTTTGACCACTAGTTTTGGTTATATTTTAGTAGAGAGATTCCATAGGGACTGTATATAGTCATGTAGGATAGACTGAGGACTCTTGATCTAGGCTTTCATGCATGTTCCTTGTTTGGTTCTAGTTGTAGAGTAGGATCACCTGTCTGGGTGTCTATCTCACCTCTAAGTATATACGGTTATGTATTCCTTGGATTGTTGTTATTTAGTATGTTGCTATGTTTTAGTGATCTGTTACATCTGTATCTGATATATAGAATGTTGCTATGCTGTAGTGATCTGTAGATTTGTATGTCTACCTGTACTTGTTGGTTATCATCTAGTAGAGTTTCCTAAGGACTATATGTAGTCATGTAGGATAGCTTGAGAACTCTTGATCTAGGCTTTCTTGTCTATTCCATGTTTGGTTGTGGCTCTAGAGTAGGATCATCTGTTCGGGTGTCTATCTCACCTATGGTTACTTATGGTTACACATTTCATGGAGGTTAGCTGGTGGCGGGACAATGTGATGTGAGAGGACTAGTAGGCGATAGTGAGTTGTATGATTGATGTTTGCATGTATTATGTGCCTGCTTGATCTTTGATTATTTATATGTCGACATATGGTGGCAGTGGGTTGAGGCGGTCATGCTTTGTGCTGTCGGCCAAGATACCCGGTGTGGGCCGACTGTAAGCCATAGGCACGGAGGCTTGGGAAAAGAGGTTGGGTTGAGGCAGTAGGCCAACAAACCCTGGGTATTTCACCCCGATGGCTGATTGGACCTCTTGCATGTTGGCATTCCAGTATGAGGACTGATTGGGCCTGGGCATTCCAATTCGATGATTGTGGGCCGTTATGCATGCTTGTATGTTTATCGTATGGGGTATTTTGGGGGAAACTCACTAAGCTTTGCGCTTACCTATTTTTTTATTGTTTCAAGTATCATCGATCATAATGCGAAGGCAAAAGTGTGATTGTACACATTCATCAGCAACAATGAAGATTTTGTGCTTTAATATTCCTCTGGTTTTCAATAAATGTATTTGGAATAAACGGTTTTCTTCACAATGTATTTATAATTGGGAAGCTTTACGTTAACAAAATGAAAATTTTTGGTTGTGAAAATGGGACGTTACAAGTTGGTATCAGAGCCATGGTTTAAGCGAATTGGAGGTACACTTGTGAGAATCCAGTCTCAGACTAGGATCCGAGAGTTTTCACAAAACGTTTTTCAAAAAGAATTTATAATAAAAGGGTTGGGTTAGGAACATAGGATTGGTCTCTTGTCATGTTCTTGTTTGATTGTTGGCTTGGGATCGCGAACATGGACCTTGACTTAACTTTGGTTTGACAGGAAGATGCGATATGTACAGTCAGCCAGAGGTCGAATAGGAAATTGGTTCCCAAAATACGCATATTTTTTATGTTTGTTGAGTTTTGATTTTGTTGATATATGGATTGTAAGAAAAGCATGCTAGTGGATAAGGTTCTTTTAAAAACTGTTGCATAGAAGTGCCTGAGTATGATATCACCTTATGATATAGGAAATTGATTGCTATATGTTACTCTATTTTGTGATTGCTACATGTATGTTGATTAGTTGTATATGATCGGGATTGAATAGCATTAGAATGGTCGACTTAGCCTTACTTCCTATTCCTTGTTTGGTTGTGGACTTAGGGCAGAGTTGATTATTCGACAGTCTATTTGATCCCGTATTGTGTACAACAAGCATGCACAAAAGCAACCAAAAGTGCGGTAATGAGGATAATCCTAGGAAGATTCCCTAGGAAGTTAGTTGTGGCCCGTAGGAGAACTAGGTGTTAGCACACCTAGGAGTGGTCTGGTGCAGTGACTTAGGACCTTGGGATGAATTCTGAATCGATTACTGATAGGTGATGAAGGTAGTATGGACCCATACTACTAAAAGCTCAAGATCCGTATGAGGTTCGAGAGGAATCTCGAGGTTACTAAGGAACTAATAGGAGTGTGGCATGGTGTGTTGAGCACTATGTTTTGATTTCTGATCTTTCCTTGTTATATTTTCTGTATGATGACTTTTGAAGGTCTGGGTGGGGAGGAGATATGTGGGATCATTGCTGCCAAAGTGGCCGAAGCATTCACGGAGGCAATTCCAGAGTTGTTTGGGTCGGCCGAGACCACGTTGATCAAGGAGTTTGACCGGTGCTATGTCGTCATCACGCATATAGTTGTTGCCGCAACCATAACAGCCGTCACCATTGCAGGATCTCAAAGAGGCAAGGTGATGCAATATCGGGAGTTTAGTTAGATGAAGCCTCTAGAGTTCAGAGGCGACAGGGACCCAATCATCGCTTCAAGGTGGATTTCTGATGTGGAGGGATGTTTCTTCACATGCTCATGTCTTGAGGGCCAGAAGGTGAAGTTTACGTTGAATCTTCTTCGTTGGGGTGTGAAGGATTAGTGGGAGTTTGTGACCCAGGCCTTTTCGTAGGCCGAGCGAACCGTACTGACTTGGGAGCAGTTTATGGACATGTTCCGAGTTGAGTATATTCCTCTTGTGGAGAGGGAGTGATTTGCTCAGGAGTACCTGGATATGAGACAGACGACCGAGTCAGTGATAGAGATCACCAAGATGTTCACTAAGAGGGCTTTGTTCTGTCCTGAATTCAATGCTTCAGAAAAGGCTCAGGTGACTCAGTACTTGAGCATGCTCAAGACGAATATTCAGTAGTTTGTGTCTACCAAGCAATATAGTACCCTCGTTGAGCTTCAAGATGCCACGAGGAGGCGATAGATTGAGATAGAGACCTATACGAGGGAGAAGTGTCAGGCTCTGATTTAGTCCCAGCCTGCAATGAAGCAGTTCAAATCCGCCGGCCGAAGTTCGGGATTAGCTGAAGGGAGGTGCAGATCTTTTGTATGTCACAGGTTTGGCGAGGAGGGTCATTTTTATAGAGATTGCAGGCGAAGTGCAGGAGTTTGTTTCAATTGCGTATAGGAGAGCCACATCAGAACTCGTTGTCCCTTTCTCGTTTTTGGTGAGGTGTTGGACCCTACACCTCTTCAACGTCCTCCCTTGAAGCCCTAACCCTAGTTTGAGCCTTGTGAGCAAAAAGAATGTATTTTTAAGTGCTTTGGAGTGTTCTTGGTACATCTTGGAAAAGAAGGAGCTCATTGGAGAAGTGTTAGTTGCATTGGTGCGTGTATATCCAGACCTTGTTCACCTTGATCTTTCTTCTGGAGGTATAATGTTTGAATCTTGATGATGCATTTGTTAGATCTAGCTAGTTTTGGGTGTTATGAGCTTTTGGTCACTTTAAGTGCATAAAGTTTAGATCTTGAAAGTTTATGACCTTGTTATAGATAAAGTTGGAAACTTTATCCATCTAAACATCATATTGATTCAGATATGAAGGTTGGAGACTTAGACTTAATGGATTAAGTTGAAAAAGATGCACTTTTGGTCCCTTTGAGACTTAAAGACTAGATCTTGTTTGTTGGGACCATTCTAATGGATAAAGTTGGAAACTTTATCCATTATGAAGCTATTAGGAACCATAAAAATGTATTATTGGTCCTCCTAATGGTTCCAACACAACTACCTCAAATTTTACAATTCGAACAAAAACAAGCACTTTTACTTGCATCAATACATTCCACAGACACGTGAAGAAATCCAAGTTCCTTCATCTTTCTAAAACCTTTCATCATAATTTTTGGACTGATTTCCGTCATGTACAACTGTATATATGTTTTCGCTTCAGTATCCTATAATTCAAAAAAGAATACACCATGAAACTTTTGTCGCAATAGATAAAAATGGATTTTCTCCAACTTAATTATAAATAAACTTGATCCTTACCAAGTCATTAGCCAACATATCTACAATTTCCTTGTTAATCCACAATCAACTATGTTTGTTAGGGTTATCCGGGTATGAACGACAAACAATGTTCCTTCCCATTTCTTCAATATGGTCATGCATGCTTAGGTACTCTTCACCCTGAATATTATCAATACTTATGAGAGATTTTTTCTAAAGAACTCTTAAACCATTTCTAGCACGAAATCCATTGCTTTCAAGTGCTTGATTGCGCTTGCTTTCGATCATCCTTTTAGTATGCTTGCAACATTTTGGAATATTTCCTTGTAATCCTCTTTTAGATCATCACATCTTATTTCCAATTTTTTCAATTTTTCCATTAACAAAATTATTTTTAATCTTTCTAAGGCATATGTCCATTCCAACTCATTTTTACCAAAAAGAAACAAACTCGGAACTTTGAGTGTCATGGGAAGACCAACATCATAATGCACAACTTGTTGACACAGCTCTTTGTACCCTTGGTATCACTCTCCAAAATGCATACCTATTAAAGAGGAAAATTGCTTCCTCATTCAATAACAATCGGACATTATGAATGGACTTCACTCCATGTGCAACAAGCACTTGCTCATCCCTTGTTGTAATTATAATTCTATTACCCGGTTTAAACCAATTCATCTAACTGGCTAACGCTTCAAGCTGTTCTATATGATCCACATCATCTAGAACAAGAAGAACCTTTTTACTATGCATCCTCTTCTTCATCATGTTTTTTCCTTCATAAATACTACCTATGGATATGCCTTCATTATTAAGACATCAGAAATGATTTGTTTTTGCAACAACTTCAAACCGGACAAAGAAGCTTTTGAAACTTCTCTAACATTTTCAATTAAGCTTTTACCTTCGAATTGAAAGGATATTTTATCAAAAACAACCGTAGCTAAATTTATCTTCCCACCACCTCCAATTATCTTGATCCTGGTCATGTAAACATCATCAGAAGAAATTACCAAAGATGATAAAACATCATTGATTCGGTTGTCAATGCATACTAACTTTTCATCAATGTTGAAATCGATGGCTCTTAACTCTAGTGGAAGCTCTTTAACAATTTTTTGAATGAACTTAGCTTCGTGCCTATATATTAAAGAAGATTCAGTTAGCGTACTCAAAATTTCCACTTCAGCAATTACTTTCATGAACTTAGCTTCATCCCTGTAGTTTCATGTTTAATATTCCGACAAGATGAAAGGCTATGACCAAGCCTTTTAGATCCATGGTAAACTCAATGAAATAATACTGTAAATTGCAAACATAATGAAAGAATACTGCATAGATTGACGAAAGAAAAAAAGTATAACAAGCATTCATATGAGAATTAAACTAACAAATATGTTGAAACTTTATACAGTTGAACGCAAAAATAGCAATGTACTTTCTACTTTTTTGCATTATTATAGGATTGTACTTCCATTTTTTCTTATTACGTCATTGTACTTTAATATTACTCTTTATTAAGGCATTGCATTATAAGAAATTTACCCTTTCTAGCAATGAGCTACCACTACCTATCATCCCATTATTTCTTTCCAAAGACATGATATGGGTACAATTATATTAACTTCAAAAACCTAGTTTCAAGTTTCATAAAGTCTAATAATTAAGGGCAACATATTTTTTAAAATTCTTTTCTTTTCATGTCGTAGTACAAAAAGAAAAAAAACAAAAAGTATATTGTTGATATCTTCCATTTAGCCCCATTTTTTGGCATAGGGATTAATATTATGAATTGTGCTTTTCTAAAATTAAGAAAATATTTATATTGGAAACCAATTATGAATTAGATAGAATTACGTGTTAGTCCTTGTGGTTTACCAAAACAGTCATGGTGAGGAAAACTGTGATAACCCCTATGTGCTTTGTAACACCTGTTTTCTAGGATAAATCGAATTAGGGTTTCAAGGAGTGTTAAGCTGGGATTTTGGAAGAAAATAAGCCTCACAATGTGAGACATAGAGGCTCACGATGTGAGGTGGGTTGCATGAAAAATTTTGTTCGGGACTGGTCACACAACGTAAGACATAGTGGCTCATGATGTGAGAGCTGTTGGAGCCCAAGCCCATGATCTTTTAGGGTTTCCTTCGTATTTAAGCATCTCTAACCTTATTTTAGGGTTTCTTATCAGCACCAAGCCCTCTTTCACCTCATAAAAACCCTATCCTTCATCCTTGCTTCATCTTTGGTCATTTTGGAGCTTTTCTTGGTTTAGAAGGAGAAGAAAAGAAGGAAAAGGTGGTATTGTGTTGAGGCTTGCAAGGAATCAACATCATCATCACCTCACATTGTTGTTGGATCTTTGTAAGTGTCAAAGCTTCCTCCTTTATTCTTATATGAGGCTAGATCTATGTTTTTTCCCACTTTTCCTCTTGATTTTGCAAGTTTGATGAATGGAAACCATAATGTCACACCCCCGGCCAAGGCGGAACACGCCGGGAGCGGGACTAAGTTCATGGATCACAGATAAATTGAATATATAGCACAAGTACAACGATAAACAAAATAGCATTTGTATTCCATCATTAAGTTTGAATACAAGGTTCTTATAGATAATAATAGTACAGTAGTTGCCTTAGACAGATAAGCAAATAACAGAAGCAAGCTAGCTAGGTCGTCTGCAATCCACGACTAATCTTCTGCCTGAAAGCCTGTCTGATGATCCCCTAAGAATACATGTAAGTTTGAGGGTCAACACAAAGGTTGGTGAGTGTCACAGGTTTTCTGCTTAACCGCAGTATAATACTTTTAAAAAGTCTAAAAAGTATTTCCTTTGTTAGAAAATTGTGTTTGAAAGAATGTTTGATAAAGATAGAATTATAAACCATGATTACTAGATAACAAAAGTCTAGTCCAGTTTATAGTAAGGAATTTGTACAGATATACATATAAACTATGGTTTCTAGGTTATAAACATCTAGTTAAGTTTATAGTAACGGAATGGTACGGATAACATATGAACAAACATACAGATAATGTTATCTGTCAAGGTTGTATTTAACAACCACAGATACGGATAAATAGACATACAGATATACGGATAAAGTTATCTGCCAAGGTTGTACTTAACAACCGCAGATACGGATAAACAGATAGTTGACAAGTATATTTGATAAGCGTACACACTGAAGAGTATGATACTTATTTAAGCAGTTGGTAAAACTTGGAGTACAAGCACATAAACGAGCATAAGATACGAGCTCTACAACTCGTATAAATATATAAACTTATATATTTTTGTGTATGTATGAGGTATAATTAGACTACCAAGTTGATAACCGGCTATACAGTCATAGCACATTTTTTTTCGGAACGTATATGTTATTTTTATTAGTTGTATTATCTTAACAACATAACATATAAAGCTATTGAGGTTTAAAACGATTTTTTTTACTTAACATGTAAGCGTTTAAACAATTATTTCTAAAACTGGTAAAGTATTTACACAAAACAATGATATTTTTTGTGTATTTTGTATGATAAATATTACTTAGTACACGTACTACCATATACAGACGAGGGCCAGACATGCAACACCGAGGTCAGGGCCATTTTGGCATTATAGCATTTCTGAAATCCAACAACTCATGCGACCCTTCAAACCAGATTCCCCGTACCGTAAGAAGTAGCGTAATAAATAATGTTTTTGTGTGATTTATATTGCATAAAAACGGTGGTGTTGTTTGTTTAAACAAAGTATTTAGAAAATAGATATAAACTAGATATACAACTACTACATGTATTTCCCCCCCCCCCCCCCCCCCCCCGAAAATATGTAAAAGTGGGGCCGTAACACTCACCTTAACGTGTGGTTGATGATTTGTTTCGAGTATTTGATGCGAGAAACCGAGAAGTGTCGCTTTGATAACGAACCGTCGAGATTTATTTAGTTTCCTATGAAATTTTAATATAAATTAATATGTGGAGGGTTGTTTGGTAATTTAACCAAAGCATATGGTCCATTTACTATTTTAAATAAATCAAATGGGACTAAAAAGGTTAGTTTAATTTATAAGTTTCAATTTTGGATTTATTTTGCAAATAAATCCCAAGAGAGGGGTTAATTATGAATAAATAAAATGAAAGTTTTGTTCATGGACTTATTTTGCAAACAAAACACAAGAAGGGGGTGTCATTTAAATAAATAAAATGAAGATTTGTGTGCTTTGTATTTGTTTTGAAAAGGATTTTTAGCGGAGGGTATGTTTTGAACATTTTAAATGATAGTTTAGGTGTTTAGGACTAGATTTGAAAGTAGTTTTTGAGAGGGAGGGACCTAAGCTGGACAAATCCGAAGTTGAGGGACCGTATGTATTTATTTTAAAAGGAAGTTTGTACAGTAACTTATATATGATCCTTCCATTCACAGGGGGTATTAACCTCCTGTGTTCGTTCGTCTACGGGTATGCAAAAAGAGAAAAAAATTTATTTTTGATTATTCTGATCGATGAAACTCTATGGACCAAAAACGAAATGTGTAAAGGAGGTGTTGATGAAGGATTACAGTAGAAGGGGTTGGCTGGAGGTGGCGGCTGGTGGTGGTGGCCGGTGATTTAAAGCAGCGGCAACAGTGAAGGTGACGGGGTGGCAGGAGGCTACTCCGGTGGTCCTTCTGCCGTCATTTTCTTGCTGATCTCGACTGGTTCCGATGAAGGGAGTGGGGAGGGACATTTGGGGATCGAAAACAGCAGAAATCAAGGCTTGGGGATGGTATTTTCCGGTGGTGGCAGTGAGTGGTAGGGTGGTGGCAGTGGGTGGTGATCTTGGGTCTTGTTCACTTCTTCTTGACAGAAACAGTGAGAGGGAGAGAAAGGAGATGTGAGGGACGTGTTGGGTGATCAAGAGGGAGGTATAAGGTGGTGGAAGTGGTGGATTAATGGTGGTGTAAGTGAGAGGTTGAGGGCGGTTTAGAGAGATGTAGTGCTCTTTAGAGAATAGAGAAGAGAGCTGGATATTGATGTGTTGAAGGAGGAACCCAAGCCTTCTATTTATAGTAGGAGAGGGTCACACACACCCTTTGTGGCCATACTTCCAACCTAGCAATGTACTAGTTTGGTGAAACTTGTACACAAAGGAGAGTAGAAGGAGAAGTAATCCCACGTGAGCAAGGTAAGAAAAATCTGATTCTTGAAGTATATCATCCCATGTGGGCCCCACATGGGGTTAATCCTCCATTATATATCCAAAACACACAAAACCGGGTGTATCGGGATCCATGCATTGAGACTTTTATTTGTGAATACCGGTAGAAAGAGTTTAATTCAGGGATTTTGGAACATCAAACAGATTAATTTTTGGAGTTACGGATCTCCGGGAAAATGCGTTCGAAGTTTTACGTCTAAACGGCTCGCGGTGTCTGTTTTCGCGAATTTTGTGAATATTTTCGTTAAAAATATTTCGAGTGTGAAATTAAATAATAGATTATAGCTTGAGTCCAAAAATGCTCTCGGAAATCCCGTCGGCAAAGCGTAAGTGTCTCAACGGATCGATTCGGTTTTACACGATTAAATAAAAATAGTGTTTTAATGTCTGTTTTCTTAAAATTGTCGTATCTTTTGCATACGAACTCCGTTTTGGACGTTCTTTATATTTTCGAAAACAGGGGAACATGTACTATAATATTTTAATGTTTGTTTTGCTCAAGAACGCTTAATGTAAATTTTCAGTTTTTCTAATGCATTAATTAGTGTTGTCGTTTAAGCGGTTTGATTCGGTTTACAGTTTATACATTTGGAAGTGCAATATCATCTAGTATCATATTATAGTTAGAATGAAATTACTTGTCCTTCTTAAGATACACTAAAACTCAGTAATTCGGATTAACACCATTTTCACGGATAGATTGACGGTTATAATAATAGCCCTAAATTCCGGGTTGTCACACATAAAGTTGGCAACTTTATGTGTTATTAGGGTCTTAAGAGTGGTGTGGAGTTCATATCCAGTGAATGGTTGAGTTTTGGAACCTTGCATGAAAGTTGGATGTCTTTTCCTTCAACTTTTGACCCAAATGAGATCTATACATGTATTGGACATATATGTCTTCAAAGCATCGACTTTCTAGTGTATTAAGAAGTTATAATACCGAATGGAAAGTTTGAGTTCAAGCCTTAATGGATTAAGGACTTAAAAGTTGGACTTTTGGCTTCAGACTGTTCTTACGACGTGAGACTTGGCGTCTCACGACGTCAGGGTTGAATGACCCCATTTCTGGTTAGCTTCTTAGAGCTCACGCCATGGGAGGAGGCTTCTCACGACGTGAGGTTGGATCTAGTGACTTTTCATGTCTAAGTTGACGGAGTTGAGTCAGGATGAGTTGCAATTGAACCGAGTAGGATCTCAGGACATGACTAAGGACTGGTCATGACGTGAGGATGGATAATTAACATTTTGGGCTTTTGGTTGGGCCTTTATGGAATTGGGACTGTATTGGGCCTTGGGTGTGTTTGGGATTTGGGCCGGTTATTGGGTTGTTAGTGTTATTGAGTTTGGGCCCTGGTTTTTGGGCCAGTTGAGGGGAAGGGTAAAATAGTCTTTTACCCTAGGAGTCGGGATTAGTGAATCACGTCCCGATTATGGTTATGACCTGATTATTGACATTGATTGTATTTGATTGGTTAGCGCGGGGATTCTCATGTCCAGTAGCCCGACCATCAGTTGGATTATCAGCGGATTGAGGTGAGTTTGCTCACTATACTATAAGACACTAGGATTGTATGTGAACATAGTCTTTATGACTCCTATTGTATGTATGTTTGCCTGTGTACCTGTTTGCTATATAGATGGGGTGAAATAGAACCGGTACAGCCTTATGCTGACACATGAGTTGAAATAGATTCGGGCGTGAAATAGGCCCGGGGGTGAAATAGACCCAGTACGACCATGGGCCAACACAAGAGTTGAAATAGACTCGGGGGTGAAATAGACTCGACACAACCTTGAGCTAACAGATATGTATGGTATGCGGTATTTTGAGGAACTCACTAAACTTTGTGCTTACGGTTTATGTTTAAAAATTATTCATGTACTCCCTGTTCGCGAGGGAAGGGCCCGACTTGATCGCAACGCATCCACCCATGTTTTCGCACTTAATAATTTTGGGAATTATACTCTTATAACTATTTTACTCTGATATACTTTTGAATGATTGAAATGATTAAATGGTGTTTATGATTGAACTAAAAATGAAACTTTTACCTTATAACTTTTGAGATGTTACAAGTTGGTATCAGAGCCTTGGTTTGAGGGATTCGGGCATACACTCGGGTGTGTCTGAACTCAAACTAAGGGTTTGGTAAAATTTTCATAAAATAAATTTTTATTAAAGGATTTTCTAATAAAATAAAGGGGTGTGGTGTGTGCAATCAACCGGGCTCAAGTAAGTGATTCCCAGAATACCCATACATGTTTGTTATGTTATATGTTATGAGAATTGCATGTTAGATTAGGGTTATTGATCTACTCAGGATTTTATGCTAGGAGAGACGCCTTTATATGTCGGATTCATTGAGTTTTGAGTTGCATGCTAGTATGGATTTCAGATGATTCTATGGATTGGCCTGATATGTGATGCCTTGTAGCCTAAGAGGAATTGAAATATGTCTTAGATTCGAAATCTTTATTGGTAGTAAGTGAGCTTGAAATGTCCTCTGTTTGGCTAGTGGTTTGGAGTGTTATTGATCGAATGCTACTTGCTTTGTGCTTTGTGGAAATCTTAGTGATGTGAGTTAACTATTAAGTGAATATGTTAAGTCATATGTTGCAAAGGTTAAATGCTACTTGCTTTGTGATTGTATGGATTGGCCTGATATGTGATGCCTATTGCGCAACTCTTATATGAGTCTAGCTGTTGTAGGGATGAGTCCCTTTCGAAGGATTATCTAAGCTTTGTTGCATATGATTCAGGAAGTAGTTAATTGACATTATTAGGAGTTCTTCAGTAGCTGATGGCAGGGTGAGGTCGGAAACCTAGGAAGCCTAGGAAGTGCTTTAGTGTGTTGGTTACGCTGCTTAGCGGGTATTTTGAGTATCGGTTTGAGAAGGTGACTTGGAGGATTCTGGATGATTCTTGGGGAAAGTATGGGTAGGTGTGGAAGGTAGTATTAGGCTCGTACTACTGAAAGCATAGGACCCATACTCAACTCGAGGAGAGCCACAAAGAATCTAGGAAACCGGTGGGATGAGGATTATTTGGGTATTTTTTGATCATGTGTATGATTGCTTTTTCAGAATGGGGATGAGCACGCATAGAGAAGGTTCAGGTTTTGGTTCTGGCTCGGTTGATGAGAAAATTGGTGGTAGGAGTGCCAAGAGTGCCAAGGTTCTGAGTTCGTGTTGGATTGAGGAGATGGAATGTGTCTTCCGCACTAGTCCCTATCCCATAGGAGCTAAGGTCTGGTTTGCCTTGGAGCTCTCGCATCATGCGGTAAGGAGTTGTTGGGAATTGATTGCACAGTCTATTACGCTTACTGAGCTGGAGACTATGTCTTGGGAAGAGTTTGTGACTTGGTTTAGGGCGGAGGTTTCACCAGCTATCGTAGTGCAGCCGTTGGCAAGGGAGTTTGTGAGCATGTTAGGGTGCAAGACCCTGAATGATGTGATTGTTGGTACCCGTGAGCGGGAGATTGATTTGGAGTACCTCGGGAGGAGGAAAGCAGAGCAGATTCAAACCGCAGTAGGCCAAGCGAAGAGGCCAAGGACTCAGGATTCGTGTTTGGGAGGCCAGCAGGGTCGGGTGTGTTGTACCAAGTGTGGTAGGACCCATGCCGAAGGTTGTTGGGAGATAGGGAGAGGATGTTTCAGTTGTGGACAGATGGGACATTTCAGTAGGGATTGCCCTTGAGAATCGGTTTCGATATGTTTTCACTGCAACCAAGTGGACTACAAGAAGACCAATTGTCCGGAGTTGATGAGAGGAGTAGTGAGGACACCTGCTCCAGCCACTTTGAGGATTACTGATGGTCGCGAGGGCAGAGTGGAGGTTCCTGTGGTGAGGAGTTGAGCATTTTAGTCCCAGACCGAGGGGATCTGATTTGCATCAATTGACATCATAGGTATGTGTTGTATTCACTTCGTTCATGCTCTTATTAATAGTGCTTATGATTGTATGATTGTGTGTGAGACGCTATATATGGTTTGTCTAAGTCTCCACCTAGAAATTATAGTTTTCCTCATCATGGTCTAGACATTTCATCTTGAGAATCTACATATGCCATTTTGCATACTAATAGCCCTATTTAGGGGATAATTGGGCAAGCCAGGTTTAGATTTCGATGTGGGAGGCATCGGCCATCATCAGAACAAGCTTAAAGTGAGAAAAGATCAGCAGTCGATCTAATCTTTAGTGGTATTAGCGAGAATTCAAGGAATCCGCAACGTGGGCATGTCGGGTTTGAATGCAGGATATGTAAAGGTTCTTCATGGTTTCAAGGCGGTGAGGAATGGGTTTGATCGTGGGTGTAAGATCAGTAGTCATCAAGTTTATGGGAATATTAAAACTCGAGCTGGTGAAAATCTATCACAATTGATAGGTATAAAGGATTGTTTAGAACGTAGGTGTCAGATGGGTATCTGTCAACTTCATGTCTTCTGGATGCAAGTGTGGTACTCGCATCAGGGATTTTAAGGAAAAGATCTAGTGGAAACTGGTTGTCCCAATCTAGGACAACAAAGTCAGAATTCAGGAGCACTTGTATCGCTTAGGAGGGATGTCAGCTGATTGTTAACAGGCTTTGAATCGATTACTATTGTTGGTAGGGAAAGAGCCGAAGTGAACCATCACTCCAGGGTGTGAGTGACGAATTAATCGCACATGCTTTTTTGGATGTTTGGATTTTCGAGAGGATTTAAATGGGCATTGATAGAAATATATAGAGTGCATTTATTTTTCGATAAGTGGGTTGTTGGATTGGCGGTCCGTTCGTTCCGGTCAAGAGTTATAGTTTTGTGGCACG